GAAGGATATTTTATTCTGCTTATGGGAACCATACATCAACAAGACATACAATTATAAATATATATGCCCCAAATAATGAAGCATCTACGTTCATCAAACAAGCTCTTCTCAAGTTCAAGAGTCAAATAGAACATGACATAATAATATTGGGTAACTTTAACACACCTCTTTCACCACTGGATAGATCTTCCAAACGAAAGTTAAACAAAGAAACTATAGAACTCAACAATACAATCAATAACTTGGACTAAATAGGCATATTTAGAATATTTTATCCATCAATGAGTGGATACACTTTCTTTCCAATAGCACATGGATTTTTCTCTAAAATAGACCATATATGTCACAAAGCAACTCTTAGCAAATACAAATAATTAGAGATACTACCTAGCATTTTATCAGATCATAATGGAATGAAATTAGAAATCAATGATAAATAAAAAATAAAAACTACTCCAACACCTGGAGACTAAATAATAAGCTATTGAATTATTGCAGAAGACATCAAAGAGGATATTAAAAAATTCTTAGAGGTAAATGAGAACACTGATACAACATACTGAAATTTCTGGAACACTATGAAGGCAGTATTAAGAGGAAAGTTCATTGAGTGGAGTTTATTCCTTAAAAGAAGAAAAGGTGAACAAATAAATGACCTAACATAGAAAAAGAAGAACAAACCAACATCAAGAGTAGTAGAAGACAGGAAATAATTAAAATCAGAGCTGACCATCAATGAAATTGAAACAAAAGAAAACTAAAAAAATTGACAAAACAAAAAGTTGGTTCTTTGAAAAAATAAATAAAATTTGACAGACTCTTAGTTATGCTAACAAAGAAGAGAGAGAAAACTCAAATTACTAACATACATGATGAAAAAGGTAATATCACAAAAGACACTGCAGAAATACAGAGGATAATTAGAAATTATTTTGAAAACTTATACTCCAATAAAATAGAAGACATTGAAGGCAACAACAAATTTCTTAAGTCATATGATTTGCCCAGATTGAATCAGGTTGATATATACAATTTAAACAGACCAATATGAAGTGATGACATAGAAGATGCCATCAGAAGCCTACCAACTAAGAAAAGCCCAGGAACAGATGAATTCACAGCTGAGTTCTACAAGACCTTTAAAGAAGAGCTAATATCAATACTCTTCAATTTAATTCAGGAAATAGAAAAAGAGGGAGCACTTCCAAACTCATTCTATGAAGCCAATATCACCCTGATTCCAAAACCAGGCAAAGACACATCAAAGAAAATTTCAGATCAATATCTCTAATGAACATAGATGCAAAAATTCTCAATAAAATTCTGGCAAATTGAATACAGAAACATATCAAAAAGATAGTGAACTACAATCAAGTATGGTTAATTCCAGGGATGAAGGTTGGTTCAACTTATGGAAATCAATAAATGTAATTCATCACATCAATAGACTTAAAGATAAGAATCATATGATCATCTCAATAAATGCAGAAAAAGCATTAAAAAATACAGCACCCCTTCATGTTCAAAACACTAGGAAAACTAGAGATAATAGGAACATATCTCAACATTGTAAAAGCTATCTATGCGCAAGGCCAACATCATTCTAAATGGAGAAAAAATGAAAGCATTCCTTCTAAAAACTGGAACAAGACAGAGATGCCCACTTTCACAACTTCTTTTTAACATAGTATATGAAACCCTAGCCAGAGCATTAGGCAGATGAAAGAAATTAAAGGGATATAGATAGGAAAATAAAGACTCAAACTATTACTATTTGCCAATGTCATGATTCTATACTTAGAGGATCTGAAAAATTTCACCAGAAAACTTCTAGAACTAATAAATGGATTCATCAAAGTAGCAGGATACAAAATCAACACCCATAAATCAAAGGTATTTCTGTACATCAATGACAAATCCTCTGAAAGAGAAACTAGGAAAACTATCCCATTTACAATAGCATCAAAAAATAAAAATAAAATACATGGGAATCAACTTAACAAAAGAGGTGAAATACCTCTATAATGAAAACTACAAAATGCTAAAGAAAGAAATTGAAGAAGACCTTAGAAGATGGAAAGATCTCCCTTGTTCTTGGATAGGCAGAATCCATATTGTCAAAATGACCATACTACCAAAAGCACTATTCAGATTTAATGAAATTCCAATCAAAATCCCAATGACATTCCTCATAGAAATTGAAAAAGCAATCACGAAATTCATCTGGTAAAATAAGAGACCCAGAATAGTCAAAGCAATCCTTAGAAAGAAGCGTGAAACAGGTGGTATCACTATACCAGATCTTAAATTATCCTACAGAGCAATAGTAACAAAAAAAACATGGTATTGGTACCAAAATAGACTGTAGACCAATGGTACAGAATAGAAGATACAAAGACAAACCCACATAAATACAGTTATCTCATACTAGACAAAAGCGCCAAAAACAAATACTGGAGAAAAGACAGCCTCTTCAACAAATGGTGCTGGGGAAACTGGAAATCCATATGCAACAAAATGAAATTAAGCCCCTATCTCTCACCATGCACAAAACTCAACTCTGAGTGGATCAAGAACCTAGGAATTAAACCAGAGACCCTGCACATAATAGAAGAAATAGTAGGCCCAAATCTTCATCATATCAGATTAGTCCTCAACTTCCTTAACAAGACTTCTATAGTGCAAGGAATAAAACCAAGCATCAATAAATGGGATGGAATCAAACTAAAACCTTCTTCTCAGCAAAAGAAACAATCAGTGAGGTGAAGAGAGAGCCCACAGAATGGGAGCAAATTTTTACCACTCACACATCAGATAGAGCACTAATATCTAGGATATAAAAAGAACTCAAAATACTTAACACTAAGAAAACAAATAACCCAATGAATAAATGGGCTAAGGAACTGAGCAGACCCTTCTTAGAAGATTATATACAATTGATCAACAAATATATGAAAAAATGTTGAGCATCTCTAGCAATTAGAGAAATGCAAATCAAAACTACTGTATAATTTCATCTCACTCCAGTCAGAATGACAGTTATTAAGAATATAGGCAACAATAAGTGTTGGCGAGTATGTGGGGGGAAAGGTACACTCATACATTGTTGGTGGTACTGCAAATTGGTGCAACCAATATGGAAAACAGTATGGAGATTTCTTAGAAAACTTGGAATAGAAAGAATCACCATTTGACCCAGCTATCCCAATCCTAGGTTTATACCCAAAGGACTTAAAAACAGCATAGTACAGGGACACAGCCTCCTCAATGTTTATAGCATCAAAATTCACAATAACTAAATTATGAAACCAACCTAGATGCCATTCAATAGATGAATGGATAAAGAAACTATTATACAAACACACACACACACACAATGGAATATTATTCAGCATTAAAAAAGAATAAAATTCTGGCATTTGCAGGTAAATGGATGGAGTAGGAGAATATTATGCTAAGTGAAGTAAGCCAATCCAAAAAAAACCCAAAGGTTAAATATTTTCTCTGATAAGTAGATTCTGATCCATAATGTGTGTGGGTGAGGGGACATGGGAGGAGCAGGGGAACTTTGGATAGGGCAAAGGGGAAGAAGTAAAAGGGAGGGCCATTGGGTGTAGGAAATAGGGTGGAATGAGGTGATCATCATTACCCTAGGTACATGTGTGAAGACAGGAATAGTGTGACTCTACTTTGTGTACAACCAGAGAAATAAAAAAATTGTACTCCATATGTGTACTATGAATTGAAATATATTCTGCTGTCATGTATAACAAATTAGAACAAATAAATAAATTTTTTTATAAAAAGAATTTACATTTGCTTTGTGTGAGGATTCTGCAACACAGCAAAAAAAATTAGTTAAAACATTACACAATTTTTAAGGAAAAGATGAAGAAATACCCTTTATTATGGGGATAGCTTGCTAATCATGTAAAATAAAATTAGTAAAAGCAATGATAATTTTAAAATATATATATTTCAATGGTTGATCATATTTTAATACTGCAGTCTAACACTTTGGCTTTCTAAGAAAAAGAAATTCAAATGTCACTAAGCATGTTTATTAGAGAAATGATTGCAAACAGGTTTTTGAAATTAAGAAACCACAATGAAAATGAAAACAAACTTGGGAGTCAAACACTTCTGATACAAAGGAATTTACTAACAACTAAAAACTAGGACACATTCTACATACCTGAGTTTAAAAAATATCCACCACTTGTCATCAGTGGGGGGAAATCTCTTCAAATGTCTAATTAGAATCTGTATTGCAAACACGTACAACTGAGAGAAATCTCTGAATAAAATATCAAGTTGCAGTTCAATAGCACTGTGAGTAGATAATATAACTTTTTTATATTGATGAATTCATATTTCACATTGAAATTCTGACAGGTGAATCTGAGGTTTATATGAGACATCAAATGCTGAAAAGTGCCCTAAGATAGAAGTCAAGTCTGAGTTGTAATCATGTCACAGACTTTTAATTTGGGGCAAGTAATTTCATTAACATTGGATTTGATTATATCATCTGTAAAATGAGAAGTTGTATCTCATGTTCTTGGCATTCCTACATCAGTTAAAATTTGGAACTTATTTCATAAATTAAGTAAAAGGACAACTATAACTTTTGCAAAATGACTATTTTGTGGCAAGTCATAAACTTGTCTGTTTGCATGCTAAGCTTAATCAAATCACAGCAGAAATATCTGCATTTCAGAGATTCAGAAACAGAGGCTTAGGGAAAGTAACTTTCCCAAAGTCCTGCAACAAATAAATGTAGAAGTTGAGATCCTAACTGAGTTGTCTATTTCCCTGCCTTCAGGCCAACTCAATCATATGTTCTGATTTTTATCCAAGTGATGACTGAATATGCAGGCATTCAAACTTCATGACAAAGCTTGAAATAATTGTTCAACTGTCACACGATTGCATTTTAAAATGTTTTCTAGTTGAACCATAACCACCAGTGATTCAATTAGAACATTTCTATTACTTACAGCTGTTCCAAGGATACGAGTCCTTTAAACGTTTGCTTATCTAGTTCATGAATTTCATTCTTGTACAGGTACCTGAAAAATACAAATATAAAATCACTTTAAACTGAAAAATTTGTACATATATCATATGGTTTGGATCAACAGTTTTAAACTAAAGTCATTGGATCGAAGGACCGTGCGTGTGTGTGTGTGGGGGGGGGGTTCACTGATTCCCTAAAGAAAATATGGAAAACTGTGGTTTCATTTAAATATCTTAATTTGGTAAGAAAATGCCAAGGCTCCCATCGAATTCTCAAAGGTCTCCTTGGTCCAAAATATTAAGAAATTTAAAGTGACCATGAAGAAATTCTGACTAAGAGATCATATGTTACTGAGTAGCAACTTTTCTATGAAAAAAGTTTGACTATAAACAACTTTAAAAATCTACTCTGTGAAACTGAATATATTCACTTGAGAGTTATATTTTTTGCAAAGCTGGCAAATATCACCATATGAATCATCTTAATGGGATAAAAAAACATCTTAACAGATCCATAAGATATATTTTGGTCCTCCTATGACTGGCACTGAAAATCCACAGGAAAGCATATTGCAGATTTACAAATATGATGTAGAACTAACCTTAGGCAAATATATGATGGAAGCCATGTATGTGACATGTGAGGACTTTCTATGTTGTTTGGATTCAACCACAGGATTACAAAGTTATTTCAACTCTATGATCTTTGAGATTATCACAAAATGAAATCCTGGGTCATTTGTACGCCATGTGCCCATCTGGGTTTGAGGCAATCAGAATTTCTGAATCTTTCCTCCAAGTGCTTTTAGAATGTGCCTTTATGTACTGTGGATGGCCTTTGCCTGCTGTTTGGTTGAAAAGCCCTTTCCACATCCTACCCACAAATCCAATGCTCTTGGGTGGGTGATTCTACTATAGTACACTGCAGTCCTGATTGACTTAGATGGCATAGAAGTCACCACTCTGGCTGAAAATGAAAGGAATGCTTTTTAAAAAAAAAAACTGTTCGGTGAAGCTTTGGAAATTCCAATCTGATGTCTCTTCCCAGAGGTTAGAATCCCAAGAAGTTTATCAGAGTAGAGTGACTAATGTGGATTTATGTCTAACTGGAGATTTTTTCCCATGGTATTATTTGATACTATGAAAGATCAAAGATTCTTAGCTCTGCCAAACTTAATCAAGTTTCTTCTCCTATGCCAATGTGTACATTTCCTTACAGAATTCATTTTTAAAAAATAACTCTGCAAAGGTAGTTTAGCAAGAATTTTCCACCCTCACCATCTGACCACCTCAATATTTGATCATAATTATTTATCATAATTCTTCACTGCCCCATGACTGATATCTGGTCAGTCTGGCCTGCCTTCAGCAGGAATCCTGTTAGGTTGGTTGGTTCAGCTAGACAGAAATACTCCCAAAATTCTGTCTCCTCTCAGCAATTTTCTACCCACTGATATTCTTCTCCTTGGCTTATAAATCTCCTGGTATATATGGAATGCAGCCTTTTCTACCCTCAGGTCTCTCTTTCCCTATGGCAATAATCTCAAATAAAATATGCCTTCACAACTTTAACTTCTATCTAGCTCTGATTTTCTTTGACAAATCCAGCTAAGACCCAAAGTCACAAAAATGATAATAGAATTTTCTAGAACAATGTTATTTCAAGCAGATTGTAAATTGCATTGAAATGCAAATGAAAATCACAATTCGATATCACCTCACCCACCAGGATGGTTACATTTTTTAAGAAAAGCAAAACAAGAGAGGAAGTCTGCATCCTTCTTTGCTCCATAGCTTGGGATCCAAGCAGCAGGAATATTGCATCTTAGCGAGGTGGGAGAAAGAGGGATTTCACTAAAATTTACTACTGGACAGTATTTTACTGACTCAGAAATTTGGGTACATTGAACAAAGAAGAAAGAGTACATTGGAGCCAAGTGGGTTGTAGCAGCAATAGCAGTAGCAACCCTGGTTCACCACAGTGAGAGGGGATAACACACCGAGAAGCACTACGGGCAGATTTGGTACAGAAAAACATGCAATCAGAAAAAAAGGCTAAACTTAGTTGTTCCAGATGTTGCACTATGAATTGGTGTTTAAAAGCACTTTGCATTTCTCAACAGGCAGTGAAGAACTGAGGTGGGCCATCTGGGGGAGGCCACACTGCAGCTGCAGCTGTGGGAGAGAGAAGAGAGGAGAAAACACTACCATAGAGTCCCAGCAAGTGTCTACCATGCAGCTCTGTAGAATGTGACACAGAAAAAAGGAAGGGAAATCCAAGTTGCTTTTCTTTTGAGTATGACATCTCACATGACCAGTTGAAGAGGGTCAGGAATCTGAAGAGGGAGTTGTGAATACAGTCAGGGGCTAAACCTGGGAAGGCTGTGCTCATGGGCAGTGAGGTGGAAGATTGGCCCTCCTGCCCCCTCCCCTGTGAATAGAATTCTTGGAAGGCTCTCCCGACAGATATTGGCAACTGCCAGGCCCAAGGGGTGCCCTAAGGTGCACTGATCCAATTTCTCCAGAGCAGACCCCACCCAACAAAGCCCCTGAGGCCTGATTAGACCCAAGTTCCATCCACCAGAATTCTGCAGCAGACCCACCCTGGGAGTGCATTGATCTGATGTGTGCAGACAAACTCCAACTGACAGTCCTTCCCATTCCATCCTACCTGATACTGGTGAGAAGGGAAGCTGAAAGCTATTTCAACCAGTTCAGTCTTAGGTCATTCCGACTGGCAGCTCAGTGAGCAACACAAACAGAGAAAGGGGTTTACAGCCTCCATCCCTTGCTCAGTTTCTCCCCCTTTTTCTCTCCCCTAGTACATAGCCCAATGTTTAGTCAGCTATTTCACTGCTATGACTAAAGGACCCAACCAGCATAACTGTATGAGGAAGAAAAGTTTATTTAAGAGCTCAGAGTTTCAGTGGTCTTAGTCCATAGAATGTTGGCTTCATTCCATGGGGCTCCAGGTGAGGCAGGATATCATGGAGGATGAGTGTGGGGGAGGGAAACAGCTCACATGATGATGATGAGAGGGGAAGAGGGAGGAGAGGGGAGGGAAGGGGGAAGAGAGGGGAGAGGAGAGGGAGGGAGAGACTCCACTTGCCAGATACAAATATATACCCCATAGCCACGCCCCCAATGAGCCACTTCCTCTAGCCACTCCCCATCTACCTCCAGTTACCACTCAGTTAATCCCATCAGAAATTAATCCACTGATTAGGTTAAGGCTGTGATGCAATCATTTCTCCTCCAAATCTTCTTGCATGGTCTCACACAAGTGAGCTTTTGGGGGACACCTCACATCCAAATTATAACACTCAAGAAAGAATGGAAAAGATAGTTGGATATAGGCATTGAAATCCATTCTCATTTACTATTTTGACCACCTCAGTGGAGACGATTTCTTCATTTTTCACTAAGAATCTCTTCCTCCTTTTCTCCTCCTCCTCCTCCTCCTCCTTCTTCTTCTTGTTCCTTGCTGTGGTGATTGGTGCATGAATATATATAAAGGGTATGCATATTTTTTCCTCAATTTTAGGAGTTTTAATGTAGTTATTTTTCCATCTTCTTCTTTTGAGGGTTGGGATTTTGGTTTATTTTGGTTTTGTTGTTTTGATTTTCTTTGTTTCTCTTATTTCTCTTTCTGTCCTTTCTTTTCACACTAATAGCCAAATTCTCTTGTTCTCTCTCCATTTACTATTTTTCCTATTTTTTTCTCCTTTTTTCGTACAACCTTCACCTGCTACATCTCTTTTGCATTCTCTCTGTTCACTTTTTGAGATGGTAAACTCTCTTCTACCACCCTATCATATTTTATTTTCTCTTAATTAACTGTGTTTTTACCATATTTTAGAACTAATTGGTTTATCTAATTCCTGTCTCCACCATTAATGCAGTTGCAATTATTACTGCTGTAGATCATATATTTGACACCTATTGTTTGCTTTAATGCCAGATCTACCTTATGGGTATTGTTTATTGCTGTTGGCAATTTCTGTTTTTTTTTTTTCCTGTGGTAATTAACATTGTAGATCCCATAGTAGAAAGCAGGTATTTATTTTAATGCTATATAATGTTTGCATCAGTTGTTGGTATTGTTTATTTCCCCCATTCTGTGAGGTTGGGAACTTACAGGGACACTTTTAGTTCAGAAGGTAGAAACTCTGTTGCTGAACTAAACTTAAAGGACAGAGCACCTTGCTCCACACATAAAGTAACAACACTCAATCTTCAACTGTACTTTAATACAAAGAATAAAAAGAAAAATTCCAAACTAACTACCAGGCCCCAGGCAGAAACATAGAGGGGTAAGCTCTTAGGTCCACTCATGGACATCAGCTACTACAGAAAAATGGAGAGAATTAACCAAAGTCTGTGAATATGACACCTATGAGGGGTCTCAATCTAGAACACCATAGGACATTTTGGCAAGTAAAAGTTGGGTCTAAAAAGACCCACATGTAAGAGTGGAAGAAAAATCCCTCTCAATAGATGAATAATACACAGAAATACAATAAAAATGAAAAAAAACAAGGGGACATGACACCTCCTAATGTTCAAAATTCACCATCAGCCAATGCTAAAATTATTTAAATGGATGAAATACCAGTAAATAATTCAAAAGAATGGTTTTAAAAAATGGCCAAAATAACACAGAAAAACAACTAAATGAATTAAGGAAGGCAGTACAGAATGAGATGAACATACAGATACAGGAAGCATTCAAAGCCTGCAAATAGACAAATAAAAAAAAAAAAAACCTCTCCATAATATAATTAAAATGCCTAACATATAAAACAAGGATAGAATCTTAAAAGCCTCAAGAGAAAAAAATCAGGTCACATTTCAAGGCAAATCAACCAAAATCACTTGTGATTTTTTAGTACGAACTCTGTAAGGCAGGAGGACTTGGAATGATATGTTCCAACTCCTGAAGGAAAATAACTATCTACCAAGATTGTTATCTCCAGAAAAGCTATCCATCAAAATCAAAGAAAAAATAAAAACCTTCCAAAATAAGCAGAAACTAAGAATTCACACCTTCTAA